TATTGCTAAAGCTAAGGTTTCCAGCATAATATTGACTAACAGTAGTGATAATGGACATCCTTGTTTCACCCCCGATCTTATTGGAAATGCTTCTAGCCTGTCCCCATTATATATATAATGCTTGCTGAAGGTTTTAGATGTATGCTATTTATTATTTTAAGGAAGACTCCATTTATACCTATGCTTTCTAGTGTTTTTAATAGGAATGGGTGTTGTATTTTATCAAGCTTTGATAGATTTTCAACTCCTCATCCAGAATCAGATAACAAGAGAAATTCTGGGTCTAAAATGTCACTTTTCATCAATGGTCCCTCATGCCTGAAATGTTCTTCCTTCTTACTCTTGCCTTCTGGCTTCCCTGATTTCCTTCAAGCCTTAGCTCAGATCACAACTTCTGAAGAATGCTTTCCCTGGCTTGCCTCCCTCTCTCTACCTTCAGGGCTTTCCTGCTGAGGTTACCTTCTATTTACACTGTGTATATCTTCTGTGTGTATGTATGTATCTATATATGTGTGTGTATAAATATATAGAGTTATACATATGTGTGTATATTCATATATATGTAACATCTATATATAATATATACATAACAACTATATATAACTATATATAGGTATATGTATGTCTGTGTATAAAGAGAGGCACAGACGCACACACACAAATGATAATACTTGAATATGTTTGTGATTTGGTTTGCAAGACACTGAAGGAAAAGTTCTCACCTTAGTTTCTAAGTGAACAAAACTCCTAACCTTGGACCCAATTCTAAATCCAATAAAGAGGCACAACATCTATCTAGTTATATAGTTATTTGCATACTGTTCCCCTGCATTAGAATATGAGCTCCTTGAGGTTTCAGAAAGTGTTGTTAACTTACTTGTATCCCAAGTGCTTAGCACAGTGCCTGCCATATAATAAGGATTTAATAAATGCTTGACTGACTCAGCATGAGTGAAGACACTAAACTTGGAATATAAGCATAATTGTCTACTAGCTTCCTGAAGGAGGTGGGAATTGTGGAAGGAATTCTATCCTACCATTTTTTTAGTTCCCTGTTGTTTCTCCTGTTCTGTCCTCTTTCATTCCTCTGGATCTCCCTCTGAGAACAGAGTGAAAGGTGGATTGATGCATTAGCAACATGAGCAAACCCATTGCTGTGGTTGGCCTGGCCTGAAGCTCCACATCCTTGCTTCTACAAAACTGAGGAAAAGACTTCAAAGGTAAACCATGACCTTAATAGTTACCCATTGATCTAATTAACATCTGAACTAAAGGAAAATAAATCACTCTGTTCTTTCCCAGGTGATCAATCAAGGACTCAGGATAGGCAAAGTCTGATGAAAAGCAATTCTGTGACCTCTTCCCTTTCTCTCAGGAATCCCCTGGTTTGAGAGAGAGAAACAGCCCCTGTACTAAGTGAGCCCATAATCTGAGGAGAGGAAAGACTCTCTCTTGAGCAGATGTTTTACCAATTGTACAGCAGCATGCTTGAAGCTCTTACTCCTTTGGTGAGTTGGGAGCCTCCTGAGAGAAAGGTCCTTGAACTGTGAAATGAGATGTACCTTTGTTTGGTCTAGCTGCCCCTTTGGGCCAGTGGCAGGCCTACATTTGGACTTCATTGTGGTGCCAGTCTAGTACCCTTGCAAACCCTGCATTGGAACCATGAACTGATGAGAATGGTAGCATTGGCCATGGAGAAGGGGGGACCCATTTAAGAAAAAGGCAGGGGGCGGAGCCAAGATGGCAGAGTGAAAGCAGCAACTTGCTTGAGCTCTCCCCCAAACCCCTCCAAATACCTATAAAAAATGTCTCCACACAAATTCTAAAGCAGTAGAATCCACAAAAAGACAGAGTGAAACAAATTTCCAGCCCAAGACAACCTGGATGATTGATCAGAAAGGTATATCCCGCCAGGCTGGGAACAGAGAGCAGCGCAGTGTGCAGGCTGCAGCGAACCTGGAGCGGGCTTCAGAGAACTGAATCGTGAGCAGCTGTGGGGGTTTCTAGACTCCTCAATCCATGAATGTCAAAGACAACTTAGAAGGTCACTGGGAAAAGTCTGTTTCTGCGGTGCTCAGAGAGGAAGGCAGGGTCTCAGATCCAGGTCCCCAAGAACATGGCCCTGGGATGGGCAGCTGCTTCCCAAGCTTCTGACCCACAGACTGAGGGGGAATCGAGTGGCTGATCAGAGGGGGATTGCAGGGACCTCTCTGCTGGTGCTGAGGCAGGAATCTCTTGCTTTGCCTGTGCTTGGATCTAGGTCACAGTTCTAGACAGGGGTCCTGGGGTGAGGAGGAGCACTGGCATGGTGCAGCTTATAGTGGCTGTGGAGAGAAAACCTTCCTCACAGTTCCAGGAGAGAAAGGAGTGCTTGTGGTCACTAACAGACCACAGCACAGGCCAGGAAAGGAGTAAACACCTTGCCCCTTATCACACCACCTTGCAAGAACTGAAAATTTATGGGTCCCTACAAGTACCTCTGAAAATAGCTATATAAACCCCTGAAGCTTGGGACAGTACATTCTCCACATTGGAAGCACACTCTTACCTTAACAAAGAGTTTAAAACTCAAGTAATTGGCTGGGATCATGAGCAAGCAGCAAAAAGAGTCAGACTATATTATCTTACTTTGGTGACAAAGAAGATCAAAATATACAACCAGAAGAAGACAACAAAGTCAGAGCTCTGACATCCAAAGCCTCCAAGAAAAATATGAATCAGTCCCAGGCCTTGGAAGAGCTCAAAAGGGATTTTGAGAAGCAAGTAAGAGAAGTAGAGGAAAAACTGGGAAGAGAAATGAGAGTGATGCAAGAAAATCATGAAAAACAAGTCAACAGCTTGCTAAAGGAGACCCAAAAAAATACTGAAGAAAATAACACCTTAAAAAATAGCCTAACCCAAATGGCAAAAGAGGTCCAAAAAGCCAATGAGGAGAAAATGCCCTAAAAAAAAAATTGGCCAAATGGAAAAGGAAGTCCAAAAGATTACTGAAGAAAATACTTCCTTAAAAATTAGAATAGAGCAATTGGAAGCTAGTGACTTTATGAGAAATCAAGACACTGTAAAACAAATCCAAAAGAATGAAAAAATAGAACAATGTGAAATATCTCATTGGAAAAACAACTGACCTGGAAAATAGATCCAGGAGAGAGAATTTTAAAATTATTGGACTATCTGAAAGCCATGATCAAAAAAAGAGCCTAGACATCATCTTTCAAGAAATTATCAAGGAAAACTGCCCTGATATAGTAGAACCAGAGGGCAAAATAGAAACTGAAAGAATCCAAAGATCTCCTCCTGAAAGAGATCCCCAAAGGAAAACTCCTAGGAATATTGTAGCCAAATTCCAGAGTTCCCAGGTCAAGGAGAAAATATTACAAGCTGCCAGAAGAAACAATTCAAGTACTGTGGAAACACAATCAGGATAACACAAGATTTGGCAGCTTCTACATTAAAGGACCGCAGGGCATGGAATATAATATTCCGGAGGGCAAAGGAGATAGGATTACAACCAAGAATCACCTACCCAGCAAAACTGAGTATAATCCTTCAGGGAAAAAATGGTCATTCAGTGAAATAGAGGACTTTCAAGCATTCTTGATGAAAAGACCAGAGCTGAATAGAAAATTTGACTTTCAAATACAAGACTCAATGGAACACGAAGAGGTAAACAGGAAAGAGAAATCATAAGAGACTTATTAAGGTTGAACTGTTTATATTCCTGCATGGAAAGATGATATTTATAACTCATGAGACCTTTATCAGTATTAGGGTAGGTGGAGGAAAAAAATTATATGTATGTATAGATAGTAGATAGATAGTAGATAGATAGATAGATAGATAGATAGATAGATAGATAGATAGATAGATAGATAGATAGATAGAGGGCACAGGGTGAGTTGAAGATTAAGGGGTCATATCTGGAGAATAAAATTAAGGGATGAGAGAGGATCATATTTGGAGAAGAAGAAAGGGAGAGGTAGAATGGGGTAAATTACTCATAAAAAAAAGAAAGAAAATGCTCTTACAGTGGAGGGGAAATGGGGAAGGTGAGAGGAAATGAGTGAATCTTATTCTCATAGGATTTCACTTAAGGAGGGAATAACATACACATTCAATTGGGTAAGGAAATCTGTCTTACCCTAGGAAAATAGGGGGAGAAGGGGACAAGAGAGCAGGGGGATGATAGAAGGAGGGCAGATTGGGAAAGGGGGTAATCAGAAGCAAATACTTCTGAGGAGGGAGAGGGTCAAAAGAAAGAATAGAATAAATGGGATGGCAGGATAGGATTAAGGGAAATAGAGTTAGTTTTTCACAACATGTCTACTATGGAAGTGTTTTGCATAACTGCACATGTATAACCTATATTGAGTTGCTTGCCTTTTCAATGAGGGTGGTTGGGGAGGGAGGAAGGGAGAAGAATTGAAACCTAAAGTTTTAAAAGCATATGTTCAAAAAAATGTTTTCACATGCTACTGGGAAATAAGAAATACAGGAAATGGGGTACAGAAGTCTGTCCTGACCTATAGGAACATAGAAGGGGAAGGGGATAAGAGAAGGGGGAAAGAGATAGAAGAGAGGACAGACTAGAGGAAGGGATATTCAGAACGAATGCCATCTTGGGGTGGGAGGAGGGGTGAGATGGGGTGAAAATTTGGAACTCAAAATCTTGTGGAAGTAAATATTGAAAACTGAAAATAAATAAATTTGTATTAAAAAAATAAAAAGAAAAAGGTAGTAGGGGCTTATTGGAGGGGAACAGACTGGTCTCTGAAGAAAAAATGACTCTCCAGTTGAGTTGGCATCAATCTCTAAGGTAACTCAGTTTTTTGATTCCATATCCAATCTCAAAACCTACATAGAGAAGCTTATTATAATATCATTCTCATACATGAATGCCTCCCCCTCCCCCGCTTTGGATTTTTCTGTGTTCATCGTGACTAACTACATGCACAGTTCCACCGAGGTTGAGACCTCTCCTCCATTACCTAACCACTGAACAAACCCCTCCCTGCCATTTTAATTTTCATAATTTCTGTTTTATAATCAGCATCATTTTACTATAAAATTGCCTGTCTTGTCATACTAAGTTGCTGGTTCCTCTTGGAACTCAACCCATTAGAGATGTCATTCCCAATAAACACTGTCACTTGGACTGGAGGTAGTGTTTGAATTCTTTGAGATGGTCCCACCACAGCAATCCAAGAAACCACATCATTTTTGGTATTCCTGTGTAAGAGACAACGCATCTTATCAAGAACTCAAACGACATACTGCTGAAGCTAGTTTATTTGGGGTCTCTCAAGATCGGGTGTACAACAAGTAGCCACACCCTAAGCATAGCCTTTTATTCCCTGTCCCAAAACACAAGTCCGTTTCCCCATTGGCCGGGTACTACAGAGGTTACAGCCTATCCAAACTGCCTAATTCCCTAAAAGGAAGATATTGAAGACAAAGAGAAATTTGGCAACAATAAGTTTCAGAGGGTGATGTATAAAGTGGAGGACAGAGGTAGACTTGAGTGGGGGCAGGGCTAGGATGGGAAGGAGGGCTGAGAATAAAGTCTCCACTGGGGAGGGGCATTCCAAATCAGCAAAAGGAATCTGAACAATAGGGATAAAGGGAGTGGGAGGTAGGAATGTGCTGCCACAGGACAAGAGGGGCACCTATTGATCAGAATATTATATAGATCAGAGTAAAGGCAGGAAGGTTCTTAGGGATAGTGCTCCAGAGCCCCTGCAGTGGAGGCCTCTAATCTCAGGCAACCTGTGGCTTGGAATGGTGGTTTTTATTAAGTCTTCAGTAGCAGAAGTAGTCCTTTGTGTTTCTTCCTTATCCAACTAGGGAAAGGTGAGTGGAAGAGACTTTCTCAATATTAATGGCAATAGGGAGGGCTCTGCAGTGCAGGAGATTTCTAATTCCAGGCAGCCCATGCCTAGACAGTCGGACTTCCTGAGAGAGCACCAAGTTCAATGATCTTATATTATGGATAAAAAAATGGAAGCTTGCAAAGCTAAAGTGACTTATTCAAAGTCACTTAGTCAGAGAAAAGAGCCAGGGCTAGACCGTGTCTTCAGCATCCCAGTCAAAGAATTCTGCTTTATGATATTCTTCCCAAGTGATGTGAAAAGATGTTCTTGCTTGTAGGCTAGTCAATGCTCTCTCTGATTCTTCACTTAAGTAGTCTTGCCAGAAGCTGTGAAAATACAAATATTTTGTACAATCTTTTGCTGAGTTTCTTTTGTAACTCTGATGCCTGTGCCCTCCATCAAGTACATTCTTCTAGTCACTTCTGCCTCCCACCCTTTCTTCCCTTTTTTGGCATCTGTGACTGTAAATGTGTACGACAGTGTGTGTGTGTATGTGTGTGTGTGTGTGTGTGTGTGTGTGTGTGTGTGTGTGTAGAAGCTACTCTAGGATGGTTTTTAAAAACACATTAGTTATATCTGAAATAGGTTTAAGATTTGCCCTTCCAATGTCCTCCTCATGACTGGCTCAGTGACAGTCAGGAGAAGACCTTGTCTGCACGGACTTCATCAGGGGCAGTTCCAGCACAGGCTGGGCAGAATCTCCCTTCACAATCAGAGTCAAGACAGATGGTTGGTACTATGCCTGGGTTTAAAAAAAAGCTAAGTGCGCAAATACCGGAGGGGGAAAACATGGCTATACACAACAGTTCATATGAAAAACATCTTGGTTTACAAGTCATTATGAATCAGTAGTGTGATAAATCAGACAAAGCAGCCAGGGTGAATTTTGGCTTCATTAAGAGAAGCATAGGATACAAAAGGAGGAATGGTTAGTCCTTCTACACTTTGGCCTGGTCAAGCCAGGGCTGGATCATTGTATACTATCGGCAGAGGGGGCACGGGCTCATTTTAGAACAGACACTGAGAAGTGAAGGATGATCATAGGAGGGTAATCAGGAGAGAGAGGTGGGGGGGAGCAGGGCAGGAATAAGGACGGAAAGAAACGAGCAATTTTTAAGAGCCACTATGTGCCAGGCACTGTGTTAGGCATTTTACAAATATTAATCTCATTTAATCCTCAAAACAACTCTGGGAAGTAGGTGCTATTGGTCTCCCCACTTCACAGCTAAGGAAACTGAGACACACAGAGCTTAATTGACTTGCGCCTGGATCACACAGCTAAAAAGTATCTGAGGCCATATTCAAATTCAGGTCTGTTCTTGACTCCTATCCATATGCCACCTAGTGGCCTCCTTGACAGTACTGTGTTGGGGAAGCGGGAGGAAGGCAGGGATATGCTAGCTGAATGAATTTCAGTATTTGAAGGCTGTGCATGGGAGGGTTTCACATTTTTGGTTTCGTTTTTATTGTTCTGTGGGTGGGGAGGCAGTGGGAGAAATAATAAATGATGGTAAAAATAAATTTAATCTATCTTATCTATTTATCTATCTATCAAGCGATCCTTCATTTGAGCTTATAAGTAATAGAGAAATCAAGCTCAAATAGAAATGAATTCCTGAAGGCCATATACTGAACTAGAAAATGACAAATTAACATTGTCTATGTTGTATTATATTTTTTATTTATTTCATTAAATATTGCCATCTCACTCTGCTTGGGCCACCCTGGGAAGTATTTTGGCCACAAGTTTGGCCCCTCTGGACTAGATGAAATGGAGAAGGTTTGGGCTTCACATGGGAGTGCTATTACGGCAGTTGTCCTCTACAATTCCCTCTATGCTCCTCTTCCAGGGTTGCTCAGCCTCCTCACACTAGACATACAGACACTTCTTTTATGAAAAGAAACAGGAGGGAACTGAGGAATAGGTCTCAGATGAAGGGGATGGACTAAAAGAAGGCAAGATTTGTCATTGGGCTTGACAAAAGGAAGTGGACTCTCTTTGGAGCAAACCACCACTGGCAGAACCAAGTGACCAGGGGAAGGCTCCCCTCGCCAAAACATCCTGAGGGAATGAAAATGTCTTAGAATCAGACTGGTGACACTGTATCAGACTGGCTGACTCTGAGGTCCCTTGCTATTTTCCATGTTAGTAGCTCTTTTGTGGTTCCGCTAAAGAACTGGAAACTAAAAGGACATCCATGAAATAAGGAATAGCCCAACAAGTTATGGTATAGTAATGTGATGAAATATTGTTGTATTTGAAGAAATAATGAAGGGGATGGTTTCAGAGAAATCTGGGAAGACTTGTATGAACCAATTTGAGTGAAATAAGCAGAACCAGGAAAACAGTTTAGACAATGACAACATGTACAATGAGAATTGTAAAAACAAACAACTCTAATCAGCATAATGATTCACCACAATTCCAAAAGACTCATGATGAAGCATACTACCTACCTCCTAACAGAGAAGGTGATGGACTCAGGATGCTGATTGAGATGCATTTTTTGGACTAGGCTAACATGGGGATTTGTTTTGTTTGCCTATGTATATTTGCTACAAAAGTTTTATTTTTCTCCCTTTTTTTTTCAAATTTACAGGGGAAGGGGAGTGACAAAGAGGTGTTATTTTTAATTGAAAAAAAGGTTTTTTTTCCTCCTATTTGTTCTTCTTACTTCCTTTTTGCCCTAATGCCTAGGAAACATTCTAGAAAGGAAAATTGGGAGACTCACTTTAGTGTTTGTAGTTTAACAGTCTGCTTTTCCAAGGCCTCACACAGCAGCTTCATTCCTTCATCACGAAAAAAATTAGAACTCAGGTCCAACATCTTTAGGTTCTCATTGCTACACATAACAGGGAGGAGATCCTGAACACCAGTAGCAGTGAGATTACATTGGATCAACCTAAAAAGAGAAAGACAACCAAAGCAGAAATGACAATTAAATGTCTCTGGGAGCCATTCATTTCCTGACTTTTTGTGTGAAGGGGATCAAATCTACAGCCCCTTTAGAACCAAACACTCAGAAAACACACACACACACACACACACACACACACACACACACACACAGAGCTTTGTTTTTCTTTTCCCCAAAAGGGGAGGGGAGGAAGGTGGTCACTGGAGAATAAGGATTAGATAATGAATGGAAAAAGGAAAAAAAACAGAGAAAAGAACAGAAGGAAGGCTGGAAAGAAACATAAACAGGACACTTGTGAAAGCTACAGACTGATCTCATATATTTAAAAATAAAACCAAGCTCTACATAACAGAGATCTATAATTTCATGCATAATTCTCTTTTGTCTGTTCTACTATATACAATAAAAGTCCATTCTCCTTAGTGTTTGTTAAGTTCAGAATTTAAAAAAAAAATTTAGGCTAGAATGGAAATGACAGGTTTTTGGTTTTTTCTTTTTAATGGGCCTTTCCAGAAAAGTTAATGAGCAAACAAGGGATAGAGAGGATCAAAAAAAGTTTTAATGGTAAATTTTGATTAAATAAAATTAAAGATTTTTCATAAACAAAACCAATGCAGCTAAAATTAGAAGAAAAACAAGTTAATGGGGGAAAGAATCTTTGGATCAAGTTTCTCTGATAAAGGTCACATGTCCAAGTTTATAAGAAACTAATTTAAATTTATGAGACTAAGAGCCATTATTCAATAGATAAATGATCAAAGGATATGAACAGGCAATTAAAAAATAACAAAATCTTTGTTTTCTCCCAATCACACATAAAAATAATTTTAAAATTTTCTTAAAATTTTGAGTTCAAAATTCTATCCTTCCTTCCCTTCCTTCCTGCCTCCCTGAGCCAGTAGGATATCTGATATAGGTTATATGTATGTAATCATGTAAAACAGTTCCACATTAGTCATTTTGTCCAAGAAGACAAGAAAGAAAAGAAGGAAGGAAGGAAGGAAGGAAGGGAGGAAGGGAGGGAGGGAGGAAGGGAGGGAGGAGGGAGGGAGAATGTGAAAAAATAGCATGCTTCAGTCTGTATTCAGATATCAGTTCTTTCTCTGGAGGCAGCATTTTTCATTGAGTCCTGTGGGATTGTCTGGATCATTGTATTGCTTAGAATAGCCAAGTCATTTACAATTCTTCATCACACAATATTGCTGTTACTGTATTCAATGTTCTCTTGGGTCTACTCACTTCACTTTGTATCAGTTTATGTACGTCTTTCCAAGTTTTTCTGAAATTATCCTGCTTGTTATTTCTTATAGCACAATAACATTCCATTATAATCATATAACATAACTTGTTCACCCATTCCCCAATTGATGGGCATCCCCTCAATTTCCAATTCTTAGCTACCACAAAAAGAGCTGCCATACATATTTTTGTACAAGTAGGTGCTTTCCCATTTTTTAAATCTCTTTGGGATACAGACCTAGCAGTGCTATTGTTGGAACAAAGGGCACGCACATTTTTATAGTCCTTTGGGCACATGAACAGGCAATTTTTAAAAAGAGAAATGCAAGCCATCAACAATCATAAGAAAAAATATCATAAATTAATAATAATTAGGGAAATGTAAATTAAAGCAACTCAAAGTCCCATTTCATAATCTTCAGACAAACAGAGACGACAAAAGAGAAGAACAAGGAATAATGAAGAAGCTATGGCAAAAAAGGCACAGTAATTCATTGTTAGTGGGGTTGTGAATTGGTCTAGATATTCTGGAAAGGAATTTAATTTCCTGGAATGCCAAGAACATTACCAAATTGTGTATACCCTTTGACCCAGCTATACCATTGAAAGAAATGAGTCATCGAGGATCCCTATTCAAACTCTAGTCTATATTAGTTCATTATGATTTTATAAGGAGTAGTGATTGTTAGAAATTATTTTAATATATTCATCTAGCAATATGTATCTAGTCAATCACCTAGTAACAGGTATAAGAATAAGCAATGTATTAATCCATACTTTGTACAAGTCACATGAGAATATAGATTCTATATTGGGCCTCAAACTTTAATGTAACATTCATTATTTGGTTTACCAGCTGTGGAACTCACTTGTACAACCACAAGAATGCTGACACAGATATCTCCATCCTGTTTTGCTCAAATTCAGTGACTAAACCAAGCATGGGTAGTGGCATGGTACAGAAATTCCCTCTTCCCCCTTCCCCTGATATGTTCTTGGAGTGTATGTATAGCTTGTACCATCTCCTCTTGCCTAACCTAAGAAGGAACCCACTCATTTTGTGACCACCTAGTCAATGGAGATATCCCTTGATTCACCCAACTCATGACCCTGCTGACATATCATATTTGCTTGTTTTGGCTTATGTGTCATATGTCAACCAATGAGATTCTGTATTTTACCATGCCTCTTTTGTATATTTGGGTATCAAACTCTATAAATACAAGGTCCTAGAAGAAGTGGGCATCTGAGATTGTGAGGAAGATCTGAGGTCCCCTAGATTAGAGGGTATCACGGACCCTTTAAGAAACTGCTATTGGCTCAGAGCTTTGCCTTTATAGGTTGGACAATTTTAATTCCCCTCACCACTATTAGTCTTATACACCAAAGAAATGAAAGAAAGAAGAAAATGAGTTTTATGTACAATATTTATAGCAACTTTTCCTGTTATAGCCCAAAATTGGAAACCAAAGGGGTATTCTATTGGGGAGCAGTGAAACAAGTTGTGGTGTATGAATGTAATGGAATATTGTGCCATAAGATATGATGAAATGGATAGTTTCAGAGGACACTGGGAAGATCTCTATACAGGGTGGGAAATGAGCAGAACAAGATCAATCTATACAATAACAACATTTTAGAGAAAAATAACTGTGAAAGACATTAGAACTCTTAATGACACAATGATACATGAGTCCAAAATAATGATGATGAAACTGACCACCCATCTTCTGACAAAGAGATGATGAACTTGAACTTCTGGGGGATAACCTCCTCTTTCCATATAACCCAGAAAATTTCAATTAGCTTTTGTATAAGTAATGGACCCCCACTTTGTAAATTTCAGCTGGAATAGGATCATCACCACGTTCTTTGTCACAGGAGAGGAGCCTAATGGCATTCAAAACCTCTTCTTTGGTTAGAAAGTTGGCTAGAGAGGGGTTGATTTCACCTGTGGTAAATGGTCAGTAATTTCAGCATTGATTGGTTATGGTCTGTTGAGAATACTATGGAAGTGTTCAACCCATCTCTCTAGGATCATGTCCTTATCACTAATAATGTGGCTCCGTTAGCACTGAGTAGTTGAGACGCACCATACATCTTTGGCCCATAAATAGCCTTCAGAGCATCATAAAAGTCCTTTTGATTTTATTATCAGTGTAAAACTGAATTTCATGTATCTTCTTACTGAGCCAAGAATCCTGCATTTCTCTAAGCTTCTCTTGTACTTTACTTTTGATGGAGTTAATGCTGCCTTCTTAGAGAAAGATGAATTTTCCCACTTGTAAACCCTGTAGAGTTCTCATACATATTTTTGTACAAGTAGGTGCTTTCCCATTTTTTTTAATCTCTTTGGGATACAGACCTCTGTATGAGAACATTGAATACAGTAACAACAATATTGTGTGATGAAGAATTGTAAATGACTTGGCTATTCTAAGCAATACAATGATCCAAGACAATCCCACAGGACTCACAATGAAAAATGCTGCCTCCAGAGAAAGAACTGATATCTGAATACAGACTGAAGCATGCTATTTTTTCACATTCTTCCTCCCTCCCTCCCTCCCTCCCTCCCTCCCTTCCTTCCTTCCTTCCTTCCTTCCTTCCTTCCTTCCTTCCTTCCTTCCTTCCTTCCTTCCTTCCTTCTTTCCTTCCTTCCTTCTTTTCCTTCTTGTCTTCTTGGACAAAATAACTAATATGGAACTGCTTTACGTGATCACATACATATAACCTATATCAGATATCTTACTGGCTTAGGGAGGCAGGAAGGAAGGGAAGGAAGGATAGAATTTTGAACTCAGCTTCTGAGTTTACAGCTTCTGAATTTCCCCATCATTTTCGTCAAACCAATTTTGATGTTTATCAGTGTTCTGAACCAGATGAATAAATGTAGTGCTGTACACCAAATCTCTGAAAGCTGTCCATTCCTTTTCTGCTCCACTGTTGCTAACTGTGTATTGACTCAACTTTCCCTCCAAGTTAGCAACTGACTGCTCCCACTCAGAGAAGCACTCTAATCTGTTGACATAGTATCTTATGGTGCTTATCTTACCTTGGGGCTGCTGCTTTTGTTGAATGAAAATATTTAGCTTGGAAAGGATAAGTCTATAGTCAGTCCAGCACTCTGCGGCAACACATTGCTTTTGTCACTCTTACATCTTGTCAGAATCTTTTCCTTATAGTGACACAGTCTATTAAATACCAATGTTTGCTGTGAGGGTATGTCCACAAAGTTTTATTATTGCATTTAGGTAAATGGAAGACAGTATTGGTGATGAGAAGGTCATGAGATGCACAAATCTTCAGTAGTAAGTGACCATTGCTATCGCTATTTCTAACTCCATTCCTCCCAAGGACTCTCTGCCATATCTAGTAGTTTGTGCCTACTTTAGCATTTTTTCTTAACTCATCAGATTTCTTCATGGTGCTAGCATAGGAATTGATGATGGTGGTGTGGCACTTTCTTGCAAGTGGCAATCGAATTGTCATGAGTCTGTGGTTCCTTCTTTTGGGACACATACAAGCTTGTTTACTAGATTAGTTTGACTGTAAACCAATGCCAACTTCCTGGTGTTCCGCATCACCAGAGCTACTCCAGAAAAATATGTATCCAGCACCGACTTTGGTAAGCTGGCCTTCATTTGCCAACTTCATTTCACTCAGGGCCACTATTTGGATATGATACCTGCTGAGTTCTCTGGCAACAAGAGCTGTTTGTCTCTTAGGTCAACTGGATTTTGTGTTCTCCGTAAGTGCACACATATTCCATGTACTAATGGCAAGTGAAATCATATTTGCAGAGCTTTTTGTGCATTTTTTTTTGTTTCAACCACAGGGTGAGTTCCCTACCTGCTGCAGTAACAGGACAGGGCTGGATAAGCAGACAATTTTTGGAGCACTTTTCTAGTCCTTCCTCACACTAGTGAGGCTGCTCAGATACCCTGGGGACTGCTGCATCCCACTGCTGCTTCCAGTGAGAAGACCACCCTATGGCCTGGGCTGCCTGTGCGCAGGGTTGTGACTACAGCTCCCAGTACATCTGCACCTGCTGCTTCATCACTTGTCTGTCACCACAGGACTTTGGGATAGGGTAAAAATGGTAAAATGGTATAGTTGACATCTTTTGATTCATGCATAAATTGGATTTGAGGCAGAGTTGTGCAGTCATCAGCCTCACTCTCTCTTCCATAGTTGTCACAGTCCAGTAGCAGGACAGAGTCAAGACAACTGGTGATGATTTGAGATGCAGTGAATGAGCTTGGTGTCTTTGATGTCTAACCAAGCTCTAAGTGCTCCATAATGCCTACTTCACCTACCTTCATGGCCACAGGAACAAACTGTTCTCATCTGCTCATTCTACCAGTGCTTGGGATAGACATCCCCCACCAAATGGTTTGAAACCCCTTGGTTACCCACAACCCAGTTTTGCTGTCTGCTGAAACAGTTTATCAGGGTGTGGTCACTCAGTATGCTACTGCTTTTTGGAGCCACAGGTGAGATTTAAATGAATCTTGTATCGTTTTCTTATTAATCTTATTTACAAGTACTTGATTTTGCTCTGTAACTGTTTTTGTCCTATAACTGCTTAAGTCATGGTTCTTTGTCTCTGAACATTGTTCAGAGTTCAGCTGGCCTGTTATGGGTTAAATTTTAAAATCTATCTATTCTTGCCTTGAGAAATTTTGCTAACCTTGGGATATGTGTGCGAACAGAAAGGGAATTGGGCCTGATATCTTTACTCCACTAAACTATACTTCGAGAATATCTGGTTTGCTGCCCAAGGGCCACTATCTCACACCTGGACTTAAATAATGATCAGTTCTTAGTTTCATGAGAGAAAAAGCGGGGGGGGGGGGGTCATTGCTGTCTCTCATTACCAAGCCCAACCAATCACATTGTTTCCTGCACCTCAGCTCTGTAATCAATCATGTTGCCCTCAATCCCATGATGTCATCTACTAATGTTCTGTTCTTTGTGCTGTACTCCACAAAACTTATAGAAGGGGAAATGTACTCTGGCTCAGAGTCTTTGGCATTAATGAAATCAATCCATTGACCCATTTATTGACAAGTAGCAGGTCCCAGCTAATAAATGTTACCTTGCTTGGAGATCTACCTCACTTTATCCTTCTGTTAAAATTCAAATGCAACAAAATGAAGGTTATAACAGAGGATGAAAACCAAAGAATAACCCTGTAATTACATGGCAGGAGTATTAAACTTCAAAATGAGTTTAGGTCAATGAAAAAGAGTATGTGTGTATGCGTGTCTGTGTGTTTAAAGCTATAATGGAGATGAGGAAGAATAAGGCCAAGAGAGAAGCATGAGGTTCTATGGAAGTATTCAACCCATCTCTCCAGCATTATGTCCTTATCACTAATTAATGTGGCTCCATTAGCACTGAGTAGTTGAGATGCACCATATACCTTTGGCCCATAAACAGTCTTCAGTGCTTTTGATTTTATAATCAGTGTAATAATGATACACTTGTTCTGCCTCAGAAGATATAAGTAGGTACAGTTATAAAGGGCAATTTAAGTCAAATATAAGGAAAAACTTCCTAGCAATTAGTGCTCCTCAAAAGAGAAATAGGCCAGGGCAGCTAGGCGGCACAGTGGATAGAGCACCAGCCCTGAATTCAAATCCAGCCTCAGACCAAACACTTGACACTTACTAGCTAGTCACTTAACCTCTATTGCTTAAAAAGAAATTTAAGAAAAAAAAGAGAAATGGGCTCCTTTGAAAGGAAGTTGGCTTCCCCTTGTTGGAAATATTTAAGCAAATGCTGTATAATCACTTGTCTATTTCATAATGGGTATAATTCTGGAGAATGGGTTGGACTACATGGTCACTGAAGTCCCATCCAACTCTCAAATTATGAGAAAATCTCAGGTCTTTGTACTGCATATTATAAAATACAGATTTCTAAGGTCATAGTGAGTAAAGGCAAGCTGTGGAGTCACGAATGGGAATAAATGCAAGTGATATCCAGGGAGATGAGCTGGAATGGAAGAAGAGAGATAAGCTTAGGTTATGACAAGGGCTCACTGGGGGTGAGAGAAGAATTAGAAAAACAGGAAGTTGGATATCAAATTGCAGATCTTCAATGATGTCTTAGTGACTAGAGACCTCAACCCCCTAGATATTTTCTGGGGATCTCTCTGGGCCAGAAGCACAAGATTCGATAAATTCCAGGTTAGCATTAATGACAATTTCATTTTCCAAAAGAGAAGAGGGATAAATAACAATGAGTGTTAAAATTTTGAGTGCCGGGAACCTCAGAATAAATATTCAGCCTTCCAGTTGTCTCCAATTTCAGAATGAATCAAAACTGTGGTCTGGACAGCCAGCCAAAACCTACACAGGTTAGTGAAGAAAAAGCTAATGTGAAATTAGGCTGCATTAAGAGAAATCTAGTGCTTGGAAAGAATGTGGAGAGTTTTTCAAAATTTGGTCTTGGTCAGATTACAATAGCATTGTTATATTCAGTTCTGAATGCTTCATCTTAGGAAGGATATTGACACACTACAGCAAGTCCAACAGGGTAACAAATAACTGGCATAGTAAACAAACTGGACTTCTTGCTATGGGAGGATAAACTGAAGGAGCAGGGGATGTTTTGATGTTTTGACTGGAGAAAAGACTTGGGGGAGACATGACAGCTGTCTTCAAGAATCTAAGGTGTGTCATTTAGAATTGGGATTACAGTATATATATTCTGTTTGAAACCTATACGAAATATTCCCGATTTTACCCACTATGGCTAGAAAGGCAGGTCTGAACCTTGTTAAGAAGTAAAAATTCCTTAACAATGAGAGATATCTAAAAGGAAAATGAATTGCTTCTTCAATAGAGGTTTGCAAGTGGATATTGAATAACCGTTTGGCAGAGCTGTTGAATAGGAGATTCCTGTTCAGGCACAGATTGATCCAGAAGATCTCTGAGGCTACTTCTAACTCTGGAATCATCTGATTCTGTCACAAAGGAAGAGTTAATGATTCCTTAGAAACTAGCATGAGAATTATTGGCAGAGGGAATCCAATCTTCCTAACATTTAGTCATTAACATGGTACACTCTTTCCCAAATCCCCCTGACTCTGTCTCTTACAGAAACTTCAGTGGGCCTGTCAGAGGGAAGTACATGCTTCCTTCAGCAAACCATTCTATTAGGAAGGCCCAGATCTCCCACTGCATCCTGGGTCATCTTCAGTCATCCAGATAAATATCTGGCTACTGGGCCTAGATGGCTCTGGAGGAGAAAGTGAGGCTGGTCACTTTCTCACTCAAATCAAAGTCAATTGCAAGTTATGTCATCATCTCCCTGATATCATGGTCCTCTTTGAGAATGAAGGACAAACCATAATATTCTATGAACTCAGCCCCAAGACACAAGAGGAAGGAAGAAGGATCTATTACACATCATTTATTAAAGAGATCAAAGTGTTCTGATCAGGGGTCACCCTAATCCAGCCTCATACAAAAAGATTCCACTCTTTTCCCTCCAAATTTGTGCTCTTTCTATTTACCTCTTGACCCAGGAAACCATTCACAAAATACCTATCGGTCTCACCTCACTGTGTGTAGTTTACAATTGTGATTTCCCAAGGCTTCACACAAGTGTTTCATTGCATACTTTCCAAAGTAATTATGACTCAGGTACAATTCTTTCAGGCTCTCATTCTTCGTGAGAGTGGTGAAGAGATCCTGACAACAAGCAGAAGAGAGTTTGCAATGTGTCAACCTATAAGATAAAACATAATGAGAAGAGGAATGAATATTTAAATTTTTCATGATGACTTCTTTCCTGGTTTCTTCCTGGGAGGGCTCATACACACACACACACACACACACACACACACACACACACGTGTGTGTGTGTGTGTGTGTGCGTGTGCATGTATGTGTGTTCTTTTCATAATCCATTTCTAATTTTAGCTGTATTGGTTTTGTTTGTATAAAATCTTTTTAATTTTTGTAATAAAAATTGTATATCTTCTTCAATATTCTCTATTCTTTAGTCATGAATTCTTTCCTTATACATAGATCTCACAGGTAATTTCTTTGCTCTTCTAATTTTTTTTATTGTACATCTATTTAGTGTTTATCTTGGTAAATGGTTTGAGAAGTAGGGTTGAACTCAATTTCTGACAACTTCTCTCCTATTTTCCCAGAAGATTTTGTTGAAGATTGGATCCTTAACTGCAGCATTAGGGATTTTTTTTCCTCCTTTGTTTTGTCTTTCACCAGTTTGGTTAACAAGAGCATGTCAGCATGGCTGATAGTTTAGGAGTCCAGATTTTTAGTGCAGAAATTATTTAAAAAGTTCAGAGGGCTCTCATTGCCCATACTTTTGTGAACAGTTTGGATAATTTTGGAATTAATGTTTCTCTGTAATTCTTGATAGAATTCCATCTAATCCTGGAGTTTTTCTTTTTGAAGTTTATGGCTCACTCATTTATTTTTTTGATACCAAATACTTTAAACAATCTATTTCTTCAGTTAATCTGGGAATTTTATGTTTTTAGGTATATATTTCATTTAAATTGCCAGTTTTGTCCCCATACAGTTGAGCAACACAGTTTTTAATAATTTCCTTTATTTCACCTTCACTTACTGGGAATACTTTTTCACACAATTTGATTTTTCTCTGTCATTTAAGAAAAATCAAATAAGCCCCTTATCTATTTCATTAGGTTTTTTTTAAAGTGGCCCCAATTTTGTTTGCCAATTTAATGTTTTATTTTCTTTTAATTTTAATATCTTCAATTTTCATGATTTCTACATTGATATTAAACTGGGACAGGGTTGATTTGTTTCTTTTCCAGTTTTTCTTTTCAGTTTAACTCTAAGGTAGCTATATCCCATAAATTTTGGCATGTCTCACTGTTGTCATTTTCTTTGCTAACATTTTCTTTTGTTTCTGTCACTTGTTCTTTGGCTCATTTTATTTATTTATTTATTATTTATTTATTTATTTATTTATTTATTTGAATTTAAGTTATTCAGTCTCTAATTTTTAATTCTTTCTTCAAAGATCCTCTACTAAATATAATTTTATTGCATTGTGCTCAGTAAAGGATGTGCTCAGTATTTCTACTTTTCTGCATTTGCCTGTGAGGTCTTTATGTCTCTATATATGGTCAGTTTTTATAAAGGTGCCATACATAGCTACCTCATCCAGTAATCATCAGAGATATATCATCTCTAATTTTCCTAAAGTTCTATTCAAGTCCTTAACTTCTATCTTGCTTATTGTTTTGTCCCTGCCCTCAACAAGCTTACATTCTATGGGGGGAATGCAGACAAACACACAATATTTAAACAGATAAATATATACATTATTATTTAAGGAAGGAAAAAGTACTAAAAACTAGAGGAATCATCAAAGGCTATATCAGTAGATAATATATGACCTGAGCTTTCAAGGAAGCTAGCGATCTGAAGAAGAAGAGGTGAGGAGGGAACTCATTCCAAGGATAAGGAATTCCCATAAAAAAGAAAAGAGATGGGAGATGGAATTCTGAGTTTGGGGAAGAGAATTAGGGCAATCTGGCTGGAATGCAAAGGGTGTGAAGAAGAGAGGTACTAGACCTATGAGTTCATTGAAATAGAAATCTAGGTGAAGAAAATCTTTTTTTTTTCTGATGTGGTCAGTATCTTCTGTGCAAATTAAAGTTCTAGAGAATTGCCTAGAGAGGTTAAGTGACTTACTCAGGGTTATACAGCCAGTGTGGATCAGAGACAGAATTTGAAGCCAGGTGTGGTCAAGGCCAGCTTTCAGTCCACTAGCCATGGCTGTCTTTCACAAGTTGAAGGGAGTAATGTGAACAATACTGGAATGGTAGGGTAAAGCCAGACTATAAAGGGATTTAAATGCAAAGTTAAAGAATTTGTATATCATCAAAGGAACCTCTATGTGGATAGGAATCCACAGAAGGTTCTTGAGCTGAGAAGTAGCACAATCATATGTATGCTTGAAAGAATTTATTTTGCCTGCTGAGTAGGGGATGATGATGATGACTTTTAAAGTTTGATCACATCAATGTGAATCTAAAGTGGGCTTGAAGAGGTCACTGTAGTAGAAAAGGCAGAATAACTATGTGGTCCACTTAGAGGAACTGTTTGTCCAACATGAATACCAGAATCTTCGAAAAGAATGCCAGAGGATTTTGAATCAAGGATGACAGTAGTATAGGGACCATAATTGAAGAAGTCAAAAGAATTACCTAGATCCTTGTACATTAAGTCAACATGGGTTGTGATCTACATCAAGACCCACCCAAAATACAATTTTCTGAAAAAGGCTTTTCCTCATTCCTAGTGCCTTCCTTACAAGACTATCTATGGTAGACATTCTTTATTCACTTGATTTTTCCAAAGTGGATTGTTAGGCCAAACACTTTAGAGTGGTTATAGATCCTACTTAAGAGGCTCTGCAGAGTTCTAATGATTGTGCTGATTAATACAATGTCATCTGAAAAAGAAGTATCTGGTGGATAATAGTCCCTATAAGGAGTCCCTCTTCCTTTTGGGCTTCTTTGAACATCCTCCATGACAGCAGCAAACAACTCCAATGAGCATAGCTCCCTATTTTTTGCCTCATTCTCCCTCTTGTTGAGTTTACCTCTACAACAGCTTTCACCTCTATCCTCCTCTCTCTACTCATACGGCTCCATTTCAGGCATTCATAATGTTTACTTGGATTACTGCAGTAGCCTCCTAATTGGTCTCTCTGCTTCTGGTCTTTTATGTCTTAAAACCATGTCAACCCTACCAGAAAAATTTTCAATGGTTCTTACTTCTATGTTGAAACACAATCTCTTTGGCCTGGGAAAATCAGCTCTCTAATGGACAAATGAATTTGTGATCTTATGGATTTTGGAGGTGCCTCTTATGATGTAGATCATAACCCATTCATACTTATCCATCCCATGGCCTCTTGTCCACGTTCTCCCATACACTGGCCACAGGGCATCCACCCAAAATGCTGGAGGCCTTGGCACTGTGAGAGTACCACTAGGGCACTCAAACTGTCATTTCCTCAAACTGACCGTATAGCCAGTCATCTTTTGCTCCTATCATAAAGCTCTTTGATGACATATCCTTTACTTCTTTTCTTTTAAGTTTCTCATTGGTTAAATGTTGCAAAGGGCTTATAACCATAATGTGCTTCTCCACTGCCATTTGTATGATATTCATTGTCAATTATTTGGAGGCTGTTGTATTTCATTTCTCACTACTCTGCAGTAATACCTATACAATATCAGTATGGAAGAGATGGATCTCTGTGTCCAAGGGACTCTTTGAGTCAGAAAAGCACTGAAATTTCTTGAAGGCAATCCAGCCCATTCACTTCCTCCTTTTCAATTAGGAGCCCAATTCAACATCCATTTGTACTGTTTATCCCAAATATACACAATAATGGATGAGTTCTATAAGTTTTCCATTCAAATGTAAATCATAACCTTGTCAACAGATATTTTTCATCTATTTTGTTTGTCTTATATGGATGGTGAGCTCAAACTCCTTTGAGTGATTATAGATTCTCTGCAATGTGCTATTGCTTAATACAACCTAGAAAATTTCTCTTGACAAAGAGGAACATCTAGAGCACTTTACCATTCATAGAAAAGCCTTCCCTTCTTTAAACAAGTGGGGAATTATGGGTGTGGAACAATACATATGATATTAGACTTGGTTGATGTGTTTATTGGTTCTGCTAAACTTTTTTTCTCTTTTAATATTCTGTGTTATAATGGATAGTTCTCTGGGAAGGAGAAGAAGAAGAGAATACACTGGGAAATGTAGGAGATACAAAAACAAAAATAATGTAAACAAAATAAAATAAACTTTTCCAAAATCATTTCCCATTCCACTCATGGTGATTTCCTTGGCATGTATTTTCTCAAACACATGAGAAAGAAAGATTAACAATGGAGTCAATCCTGATTAAGCATTTTTAAGAACACAATTGCAGGATAAGATCAAGAATTAATGTCAGTTCTTGTTTCTAGGTAATAATACCCAAGATATATTCCTAATTATCTCTTCTCTCTAAGCTCTCTCAATATTGCTTAGCTTCCTCCTATTATAATTTATTGATATAATACAATAAACAGAGTTATTAAATACCTACTATGTAGCAGGCAGAGCACTAGATACTGGGGATAAATAGCTACTAGTGCAACAGTCTCTGCTTCAAGGAATTTGCATTCTACCAAGGGAGATAATGTGTAAATAGACAGGTAGACAGAAAATATATACAAGAGAATTTTTGTTAGGAGGGCACTAATAGCTGAGCAGATCAGGAAAGGCTGAGGGTGGTACTTAAAATGAGTCTCAAAGGACACTAGGATCTCTATGAGGCAAGAGTAAAAACAGAAACCATTCCAAGCATAGTGGCTAGCCAATGTAAAGGCACAGAGACAGGAGGTGGACTGCAGTTATGTGAGCAAAAGTAAGGCCACTTGGCTGGCCCACGGAATATGTGAAGAAAATAAGGTATAATAAGGTTGGAGAAGTATGCTGAGGACAGGTTGTAAAGAGTTTTAAATGTCAAAAGAGGATTTGATATTTGTTCCTGGAGGTAACAGGGAGCAACTAGAATTTACTGAATAATGGAATGGCATGGTCTGACTAGTACTTAAAGAAATCACTTGGGCAGTTGTGGGGAAGATGGATTACAGAGGAGAAAGACCTGAGGTATAGAAATCAGTTAGTAGGCTATTGCAATAATGAAGGTGAAAGGTGATGAGGGTATGAGCTAGAAGAACAGTTGTATGCAGAGATAAGAAAAGACAAAGGAGATTTTGTTGGAAGAAGAAATTACAAAATTTGACAAATGACTATATGTATGGGGTGAGAAAGTAAAGAATCAAGGATAATAATGATGTTGCAAACCTGAGTGACTAGAAGGATGGTTTCCTCAACAGAAATAGGGAGGTTAGGAAGAGACATGGTTTTTGTTGAAAAGATAACCAGCTCAGTTCAGACACGTTGAGTTTGACATGCTTATGGAATATCCAGAGACTAGGACTGATAATACAGATTTGGGAGCCACGCATATAGATGTGATAATTGGCTGTTAGAGAGAAATGCAGTATTCCCTGAGCAAATCAATCTTTCCATGTCATGTTCCTCCTCTTTAGGGATTAGTGAGAGGAGAATGGTGTAAAACTATGAACTCTGAACCTGGATTAGGCAGACAGTTTCCACTCTCCTGGTTTGAGTTGCTCTCTCTTCCTAATGCACTCCTGTCTCTGATGCCAAGCAGAACATCTAAAAAGGGAACATGTGGGAACTCACCTCAGTGTCTCTAACTTGCAGTTTTGATTTTCCAAGACCTTGCACAGAAGTTTTATTCCTCCCTCCTCAAAGGAATTTCCACTCAGATCTAGGTTTTTCAGGCTCTTATTGCTACTGAGAGCAGAGAAGACATTCTGGTAACATCTATGGGTAAGCCTACAAAACATAAAACTGTAGAAGAAAACATAATTGGAGGGAAAATGGTCAATTCAATTTTCCGTGATTAATTCACTTCCTGTCTTTCTCTGGGCAACACATCCACTTTATGATCTCTATCCTTTGTCATCTCCTTTTCAGTGGAATGAATTTAGTTTCTTTAAAAATGGTCAGTCTCTTCCAGAGAACAGCATTTTTATACTTTAGACTATAAGGCAAGAATCATCAAAACTATTTACTACTAGCTAAAAAAACAGAAAAGTATACCAATAGACCAGATTGAATAAGAAAGAATCAGAAACAATTAAACTCAATAATTAGTCTTCAATAGACATGAGAACATAAATTACTCACAGAAAAACTTCCTATATGAAAAAAAAATGCCAGAAAAAACTGGAAAGCATTTTGGCAGAAATTAGGTTTAGACCAACATTTAAAGATATGTCATAATTAGCTCAAAATGTACATGTGGCCGGAATACTGAAAATCCTAATGGAAGAAGGAGAGGGAGAAGGAGGAGGAGAGAATCAGATTAGGAACCTTAGACAACTTTGAACAGGGGAGAATTCTCAGAGAGTGGTAATAACAAAAGACAAAATTGCTCATATCCACTACATGAAATTGAAAAAGTTTTTGCATGAACAAAATTAATGGTATGATAAGAAGGGAAGACATTTGGGAACTGTTTTGTTTTGGCAGCAAATATGCAATGTGGGACTAATATCCAAGATGTGTGTGTGTGTGTGTGTGTGTGTGTGTGTGTGTGTAACTGACAGAATTATATGATTTAAGTCATTACTAAATGAATAAGTGGTCAAAGGAGATGAACAAACAGCTCTCAAAAAAGAAATTGCAAACCTCTAATAACCACATAAAAGACTGCTAGAAATTAGTACTATTAAGAAAAACAATTCTGAGGCAAATTAGCAAAAATGACAAAAGATATGAAAAGTCAATGATGGAGAATTGTGGAAAGATAGGCTCACTAATTCTTTATTGAGGGAATTGGTATGACTGTTATGGAAAGACAATTTTAAATTATGCTAACAAATGACTAATATATCTATGCTTTTAGGCCAAAGACACACTTCTAATTATATATAATGAGGACATCAAAGACAGAAATGAAGATCATTGAAGCATATTTTTAAATGCAGAGAAGGGAAGAGAGGGAAGTTGAGAGGGAAACATATATAAGCAAGGCAATTTGAAAGTAACATGTCGAATTTATTGCAGTCTTTTAAGAAAAAAAAAGAAAATTGTACATTACAAAGATTTGAAATTTTATATAATATCTTCTATCTATTTTATTTTGTATGTGGAACTATTGTCTATTTTTGGTGTTCATTAAAGTTAAAATAAAAAAACCTAAAATTGATAAAATGTGACATGACTGTGAGAGGGAAAAGGAGAATTATTGGAGTATATTGGAAAATGTATGTGATGTAAGGGGAAAAATGAAAAATAAAATAAATCATACATGACAAATACAATACATTTTTGAAAAGCTATTGCTCATTATCCTCCACTCTGATTTAATTTACTAGGTTACAGTTTGTCAAACACATGATATGTAGGGGGAAAATAAACAATTAAGTCAATAGTGATTAGGTATTTTTATGAACAATATTAAAGAAAAAGATGAGGGATTAATTCCAGTTTTGCTTTTTAGCTAATAATACCCAAGATTCTTTGTATTTGGCTAAGATACCAGGGCAAGAAGTGAGAAGTGAAATTATACATAAGACTTTCTCACAAAAAAACAACTGAGGGTGGCTCTCACTTGCATTACAGCTTTGGAAGAAACCTGCAAGTGACAGATTCCCATCTAAGACAACAATACAAATAAATCATAACACTGCAATGAATGCTGAGAAAAGCAAGTAAAACCCAGAAAAAGGCAAGTACAACTCCTGAAAGCTAAACCATTACCAAGAGTTTAAGGAATTGAGCACTCTATATTCAACTACTAGGTGGTTTGCCCTGGCAGTAACCATATGAATGATCTATGTAAGTTAACCACAAAGTTGCAGAGAACTGAGGATCTCAATTCAAGGAAACATGGAGAGCAGGGGTGAAATTTCCAGTGATTTGGAGAGTATGTATAGAAAAGTCAAGTGATAGTTACAAAGCAACAAGATGTAGGCTGGCTACATTACTAGCAGAAGAGGTGAAGTGTTTGGAGAATACCTTGCTACTTCCCAATTAAAAGAAAAATATGAACTATTCCTTGGAGCAAGGGAGAAAGTGCATCAAATGGAAAACAAAGAAGATAAAGGATCTAAAGAGGAAGTCACAAATCCTCACCTCCAACATGAGTTTCAAGGATGGAAAACGAAAAAAAAAAACAGATACAAAGAATAAAAAGGAGGGAGGGCTCATAACCCTTTGCAGCCATGAAGCAGGTATGAGGTTTCCCATGATCTACCAATGTGGTAGGGCTCTCCCTTTGACAAATGTATGGCAGATAGAAAGAGCAGAGAGACCAATTAAAAGTGTCTTGCAGGTGAGAGGTGAAGAGCTATACTAGAAGGGTGGCCAAGACAGCAAGAAAGATAGAATCAACAAGGGCCAAAGAAAAGGACCTTTGCATTGGGAAGCATCAAACAGTAGGGAATCAGACTGAAAACCAAGATAATTCTACAGCTGGCAGGAGCACCTGGCCTCAACAAATTTATTATATTTCACTTGGATAAATCATATTCCAACATACTAAAGTGTTTGTAGATAATATGATGAAACAGATAGTTAAAATTAGATAAAACTAAACGAAGCTTTTTTTACATAAAAAAGATGACTGCAACTAGGATGAGAAAAGAAGCTGTCAGCTGGGGAAAAGCTATTTGTGCCCTCTCTTTGACAAATGTCTGATAATCAACTTTGGTATGCCTATGAATTAATTAGTCTAACCCATTCTGGAAAAAAAATTGAAATTATATCTCCCCAAATCAATAACCTGTTAACATTTGACCAAGTGATCTCCCACTACTGAGCACATATAGCAAGGATGTCAATGACAGGTCATATAAAACAACTAAATGTTAATGTAGAATTCTTTGATAGCAAAATCTAGAAGAATAATAGGTACCATTGAATATGGAATGGCTGAACAAATTGTACTAAATGCATGTGATGGAGTATTATACCACTGTAAGAAATAAAGAATATGGAGAGGATTTTGGGAAGATGGTGGAGTGGGTCAGAAAACTTTAGGATCTCCAAATTTCTTCCACAAAAAAGGACAGAATATTGCTTCAAAGTGAATGTAGAGGAGCAGAAATAAACAAAAGTCAGGGTAAAGTCCTACTAATACAATGTGAGAAGACCCCAGGAAAGACTTGACCTCTAGGGTGTAGGTTTGGTCTGAATGAAGTGAAAACACCTACCAGCCTACTCCACTGAATGAATAAACAACAAGCCCTAGGGGCAGCTAGGCAGGGAGGTGTCCTGAGCCTCAGGAACTTTCACCTCACAGACAGAAAGGGGGTTGGAGGCTGAGTAGGAGATTAAAGGCCCTTCCATTATTGAGGGATGCCAAGCATAGTTGTGCTGACCTGGTGCTGCAGCTGGGGTTCCATGCTGTGCCTATAGTCCCGTGCTTTATCTGCAAGGGAGAAGAAGCTAAGAATATACCTGGTGAGTGCAATAGCATATGGGCAGGGACCCTGCTGGCTGTGGGCATTTGCAGGACAGCAGAGACCCTGGTTTCAGTTCCAGGGCAAAAAGGACAGCTGCAGTTTGCAGCCACCAGAGGGACAAAACAGAACAAGGGCATTTGTGGAACAGAATGAATGGGGGCTATAAATGTGGCTTCTGGGTATAGAGGAGTTCCCAAAGTTGGTCCCCGGGGACAGAGGTCAGAAAATAACAATAAGAAGGATCTGAGGACTGGGCATCATTCCCCACACCTGGGAACTAAAATTTAATATCAATAATAAGCTGATAAAAATAAAATAAAATGAAACTCAAAATGAATAAGCAAAGGAGAAAGAACCCAATCATAGATAGCTATTTTTGGGGACATAGAAGATCTGGGTAAATATTTAGAGGAACATAGTGGAGCTAAAAAAAGCTACTCTTTTTTCAGTGAGAAAAGTCAAATGGTCACAAGCCAAAAAGAATTCTTGGAAGAACTTTAAAAAGACTTTAAAAATCAAATAGGAGAGATCAAGGAAAAATTAGAAAAATAAATAAGAGCAATCCAAGAAAATCAAGAAAATTATGAAAAGAAAATCCACCAACTGGAAATAGAGAATCAAAAACTTAATGAAGAAAATAATGCCTTGAAAACTAGAATTAAGCAAGGGGAAGCTAATGATATTATAAGATGAAGAAATAATAAAAACAAAATCTAAAGAATGAAAAAAGAGAAGAGAATGTGAAACATCTCATCAGAAAAACAAATGATCTGGAGAACAGATTGAGGAGAGACAACATAAGAATAGTTAAACAACCTGAAAGATACATTCAAAAAAAGAATCTTGATACGGCATTACAAGAAATTATTAAGGAAAATTGCCCTGGATTTCTAGAAAAGGAAGGCAAAGCAGAAATAGAAAAAAACATCTACTTATCACTACCTGAAAGAGGTCCCAGGAGGAATACTTACAGGAATATCATAGCCAAGTTTCAAAGCTCCTAGATTAAGGAGAAATTATTACAAGCAATAAGAAAAAAAACAATTTAAATACCTACAAGGGCTACAATCAGGACTACACAAGAACCAATAGCTACTACACTGAAGGATCCTAGGTCTTAGAACACTGTATTCCATAGACCAAAAGAACTGGGGTTACAACCAAGGATAATTTACCCAGCAAAGTTAAGTATAAACCTAAACGGAAAAAAATGGAGATTTAATGAATTGAAAGACTTTCAGGTATTTGTGACAAAAAGAGCAGAACTTAATCAAAAATTGAACATGTAAGATCCAAGACAAAAATAAGGTAAATGTTAAAGACCAATTATAAGGCACTTAATAAGGTCAAACTGTTTATTTCTTATATGTGAAAATG